ATTACATAATAAAAAAAAACTCGTTTAATAAATTACACCTTTAAAGCACTTGAAATTATAATTTTCGCGGTGTGTAAAATACGTAGTATAAACAGTTATTAATCGGTCAATTAGTTCGCGTTCCAAAGTAGGTTCGTTACTCAAGTATTTCTTATAGATAATTTACGATTACAATCGGCAGTATTTTATAGTAATTTGTAATAACGTTTATTAATCGTAATACATGTCGCATATACTGTTAAATATTTTATTAGATTCAATTTAATGCTATTGAAACGTACAAGTATTTCTCTCGTTCGTTACGCAAAATTAAATACTTCTAATATTGTATACAAGACGATAGTCTTACGAATCGGAGTTCAATGTGAATTCAGAAAATGTATAAAATACTACAATACATATTGGACGTACGAATACTTTTTACTGTAAATTTTTATCGTTTATTAACTTGCGCAACGCGAAATTCATTAACGACGACCATCGGATCGTCTTTCAAATGCGTTTTATCAGGGCCGGCGTTAAGCTAAATAATGCCCGAGGCCAAAATGCCAACTAGCGCCTTTTTGATACAACAATCCGTAATATCATTATACTTGGAAAAAATGATATATTATGCTCAACTTGTACATCATTTGTTATCGTCTAATGTTTAGTCACGAGTCACAACGGCTCGACGCAATTCTGATTGAACGATAACAAATATTTGGGAATTATAGCAACATATACGATAAAACATTCTACGCTAAGCCATTGTAAATATACTTAAAATATACTTATATTATTTTAATATACTGCTAAACGAAATAACCATAACTATTATCAATATTTCAATACAAAGTTATAAGTACTTTACATTAAAAAAAAAATAAAAATAATATTACTGACATGTGCAAAATTTTAAAAAACAATTTTAGCGCTCCCCTGAAAATGGCGCCCTAGGCGATCGCCTGAGTCGCCTTACCATCACATCGGCCCTGTGTTTCATCAATATGCTCACGAAAATATTTTGCAACAAACTGATAGAATGGTATAACTTATCCTATACATTATGTTACTCGTTAAATAATCCTGCGTGCCGAAGCTCATCACGTACGCGTAATGGTAAACAAATGCATTGTACACGCATCTAAAGAATTAGTACAAGTATTATACGGCACGAGAACAGCAATCCGTTAATTACCGTGGTAACAATTGGTTAGTATCGTTGTTTTTCGCATTCTTGGGATTCTATGTTATATATATATATATATATATTACTGTGCTTTTGGGTTTCCTCGTCGTCATCGACAGCGATAATAAAACGTAGCAGACGTCCAAGATTCCTGTGCCATTTTTCCGTAATCGAAACATGAAGCCGAAAAGAAGAGAAAAAAAAAAGAGTAAAAGAAAAAAGTAGCTTTCAGAACGGCAGTTTTCAAAGAGAACCGAAAATAGGACGGGGAGGGGGGGAGAGAGAAAAAAAAACAAATCAACAGAATAATATGATTTTGAATTCCGTGCATTAAATGTATTCGTAGAATGTCGTGTTACCGAACGCACGGAGTGATACTACCGTTACCAGCGGTAATATAAAACGGATCGACCGAAATTCGGCAACGGCCGACATTGTTTCCAAACGCGCGCGGTGTTCGCAGTCAAAGTTGCGCTTACACGTACCATTGCGTTATAATATTTTATGCGGCCATCGAGTTTTTCCGCCGATCGCAGTGTGCATCACGGCGCGGTGCTTTCTAAATTCCAGATACGTACTCACTCCCCCGGCTCACTCGGAATGCGCTGTATATCTTTCTGTTCCTACCGGTTGTCCTGTTGCTCCCGCGTATCTTTTTCCACTATTTTTATTTTCAATTTTTTTTTTTTCACCAATCAACGTACAAATAGTATTCATCGTCTCGCATTTAGCGCTACGCCGTCGTCTCTTTGCGGTACGTTAATTATACGCGCGCGCAGACGACGCTTTAATATAATGGACCGTAATGGAACGTACAGTTACATCGATTCAAGAGAGATGACTAAATATGACACGATGGAAGTCTTTCGGACCGCGGTCGCGCAAAACAAAGGTCACTCGGGTCGATTTCACTGTTTAGAGGTTATACCATTATATTGGAATGGATGTGGGAATATAAACGTGAGCGCGATGGATTCATGATATACGGAAAAATAATAACAGATTTAAAGACCGTGTCATTTTTAAATTATACGGTGTTCGATTAAATGATTGTTAATGCACAGGTGAGGCACAAATGTTTGGTACGCGTATATTATAATATATACCGTAGCGTCTCACTTGCCTTTATAATAAATATTATGTCGCTACAAACGTACTCGACGAATGCAAATATTTCTATAAAACATATTTTATGTAATAAGATAATTTTTGTTTGAAATTTAAAAACTATCATGAGTATTGCATGTTCTTATTTTTACTACCGTCGACTACTGCAAATACTCAGCAATGAGTTTAGTAATTATCAACTATATGCCTTGTGTTGGATTAGATTATAAGAAATATTTGGTTCAAATAAAGTTTTTCAAATCAATAAAATTATATTATAAATATATGAGTTGATAGGCGATGTAATATATAATAATTGAATTTGGTATTATAAAAACCAGACTCGTGTACAAGGGGGATTTTAGTAGTGCTAACCCCCCTTTCCCGAGATTCAAGATAATTATTAAATATGTTTTTATACAGTAAAAGTAGTTCATATGTTATAAAAGTATGAAAATGTAAAACCTAAAACTCCTTCAAAAAATATATTTTTGCGTACACACCTGTTACCAAAGGTATTTGTTTATAAATTAAAATGACAATGACACGTTGACCCAATCACTGGATACTTGACCAACTCACTCCCCACTGAAATATTATGAGATAGGGCATCTGCCCTACCTATATATAGGGTTTGGCGCCACTAAAATATAGTATTAATTACTATAAAATAAAATGTTGTAATCGAATACTACTTGTTTTGTTAATTTGCTATTGCAAAGACTGCAGAAGTTATCTAGTTTATGTACCTACCGCAATGTTATAATCTCTATGACTTAATTTCTATTATGTGCTTGGTATTTAAAAAATTAATTGTATTTCATTTGTAATATAAACTTAGCTTCACTAAGATAAATGATAAAGTTAATATAAAAAAATGAATTTTTTTTTTTTTTGGTATTTTCATATTAAAATATGCTTGGTACCTTTTATGATTTTTGAATGCCTGAATCTAACTTATTTTCATTAGATTTACTAAACGAGTGTCAGAAGTAAATTGCATTTATGGATTATTAATAACAAAACAGTTTGTAGTACGGAAAGATTAAAAACTATGAAAGTATGCTTATTTTGACAATCAAAATGAATTCCTCACATTTATCAGAGATTGCTGTAAGTTATATTGGATTTTATTCGATATATCTCGGGACCTTGACAGTCCGTTGCCGTTACAGTCACAGAACGGTCATTGATACTCAGCGATGTCGTATTGATAAATGGCGCTGAATTTTAAAACAGGAACTTTCCCCACGCTCGTGTACACATAAGTCGATTTAATGGTCGGACAGCAAAATCGACGTTGTCAGATGAATATTTGCACCAACAAGCTAACGAGACAGACTTTCTACAAGGGCGGAGACTCCAAAGACCTAAATTGTCAATTAAAAAATAAAAACACTATTTGAAATAATATATATTTCTCCTCCAGTATATTATTTTTCCGTGTTTTCCTCTAACTACATAGTCTCGACAGTAATATATTGTACACATCATCCATCACGCATAAAAATTCTGTCTACGAAATCAATTCGATAATTGCAATAATGGAATAGTTATAAACTATCTGACCTTAAAAACGTTTATCATTTTTTATGAATTCTCTCGAATACTATAAAAACGTATGAACCAAATAGTTCCTTGGTATATACATAAAGTGAATTAATACCCAATATTGTACAGAGAATGTATTTATTCCTGTACATATACATTTATGAGCAAATCAATATCGCAACGGCGTTCGACCAATTTCAAGAACTACATGCTGATTCCGCTACGACTATCAATAGTATTTTAATTTAAATCTATTTATAACCGTATAGAATGGAGACGTTCACTGAATATTTATCGTATACAATTTTCATTTCGAAGGGTGTAAAAAAGGGCAATGAGGTGTTTAGATGCAGATCCCTTCATCGTTAAGCTTGAAAATTACCGGTTTTCATATTAATATTTAACGTTTAAAAACGTGTTAAATATTTATTCGGATACAGATCTTTTTAATTTTGTCTACACATCTGCGCTGGGTATGAGTTATAGATCTCCTTGATACATTTTTGGACACGTCCCTGGTCATCGTCGTTTTAAAGACGAACCGGCTTATACGGTTAGCTGATGCAATAAAAATGATTTGAAAACACGTAAAATCATCACCGATGGCGGTTGAAGTCTCCGAGTCATTCTAATGTAATAGAATTACTTTTGCCCACTCATTAATGTTTTACACTTTTACTTAGAAACATCCGTAAACCAGAATACTACATGTATACACCTACCGTTCTTGGAACGGAATGAACCTAAGTATTATTTTAGTTTTAGCCGTGACTAGTTTTCCATCTTTTCACAAAACTAAATATAAATAGTAAGCACACTCGTTAAATATTCGTTTTGACGCGATGCTTGTTTATAACTCCTATTAATATATAAAAAAAATAGATAGACCAACTATATATAGTTATGTAAACGTCTGTGTTCAAACAATAATTTATGAGTTAAATTCTTCGTTGGAATAAACGAGCGCGGAATGGTACTGGTACAGTGGGGGGGGGAGACCTCGTGTGTGCAAAGCTGCCCTTTCACCGGTTCGTAAACAGAAGAACGCAATTCTTTCGATCGACGCGATTCGTCACTAGTGAGTAATAATAATAATATAACGTCTAAC